CCTATATAACTGTATTAACCAATGTCACCCCAATAAATTCAATAGAAAAATAAAAGTGTTTGTAAGCAAAAAGAAAATGTAGATTTCTGAGCTCCACATTTCCTGATTCAATTGTTCATGGTGGGGCCTCAGACACGCATGTTTACCGGCACAGCACTTTGAGAAGTACTTACCCCGATGTTCGGACAATTTTTCCAGCTATTGGCTGAAATCCCATTCATCAGTAAGTCTTCTTACCTCATTGTTTATTAATCCTTCCAGAGAACTGACCAAAGATGGGCATAGAGGTGCCATGGCGACTCATAGTTCTGGTCCTTACCATCAGTTGATTGACATTCTGTGGCCCTGGATTTAAAGTAATGGCCATACTTATGAATAATGCATATGATATTTTAGGAATCACTATATTTTTATTCCTCTTAAGTGAAGATGTCATATGGCTCCCCATCCTGTTAATCAACGCATTGTGATGCTTCGGGGGCAGGGTAGTCACTGGCTAGGACACCAAAGTCCTCACTCCGCTCTGACTGTCAAACGGAGTTTCTTCTGTGTTGTGTCCCCAGGACAAAGGGCTCTTGAAAGCTAGGCTGCGTCAAGAGAGAAAAGGAATTTCTGAATTTCTAAAAGTACTTTGAGATATCATCGTTCATTCCTAATTTTACTGAATTCCTATCAGAGAATGAGGCCTGTAGAATTTCTGCTTTTCATCTTTTCTTGAGGTTTTCTTTGCAGCCGTATACATGATTGATTTTTACAACGTGTCTTTCTTTCGATGGATGTGAAGTCCTTTGGCAATTCAAACAAATGCGACAATTGAAACAGTAAGAATAAATAGTAAATAAATAAATAAATGACTTAACCTGCATATCAAGAATGCAAAGGTTCGCTTCCCTAGACACAGAGGAAGAAACTGAGGCTCAGAGAGTTTGAATAATTTGCGCCAAGGTCACACAGCCCACCAGTGGCAGAGCTGGGATTTGAACCCACCAATATTTTATTCCTCATCCTTGGTGCTTAACCTTCTTACAGTGGAAAGAGGGCTCAGACACCATGTAGCCCTATTTCTCCGGGGAGGGAGACTGGAGATGATACAGACAGATGAGGACAGACGGTCCAGGGATAATGTGTGTCCAGACATCAGGTGGTACCCCCACAGACCCCATCAGGTGGGGGTGATGAATGGTGAGTGGATAGCAGGCTTGGGATGGAATCCGTCAGCTCTATAGGGCAGACTCATGGGGAGTGGATTTCATTGACAACCCATAGACATTTGAGAGAGGAATTATAGAGGAGACCTTAATGATCATCTTTTGCCCCAATTCTGTAAATTATTAGTTCTTTCCTAAAAGGACTGGAGGTGGCCTATATTATGAGCCAGGGCAATTGAAATAAAAGCACAGCATCAGAAACCACTAAAAGGAGCAATGAGTGAACCGAGAGACAACCTTGAATGGCCCAGGCCTGCAGTCCTGCATTGCATTTGCCTCTGCGCTTCCCGGCAGCCGAGGACAAAGGAAATGCAGGGACCTGTCTGCAGAAGCCGCCTGTTTTCCCTAATGGACATTTGTTATTCATTCATTCATTCATTCATTCAGTACGTCAATTTTAAAATATCTCAGTGCCTACGTTGTGCCAGGCCCTGTGCTCAAATGCTGGAAATCCCAGGAGGCGTGTGTTAAATCAGTTTGAAAACAAAACCCTTTGGCAGAGCTTTGCCTCTCTCCTCCTATTTTTCCTGAACCTCTCCTGCGATTTATATCACCAGAGAGATTTTTATTTTTTAATCCTCACCCAAGGATTTTTTCTTTTTCTCTCCAGATAGAGAGGAAGGAAGAGAGAGGGAGGGAAAGGGAGAGAGAGAGAAACATCGACGTGAGGGGGACACATTGACTGGTTGCCTCCCGCACGGAACCGCAACAGAGGTACCTGCCCTTGGTCAGAATAGAACCCGCGCCTCATTGGTCTGCGGGCGGACGCTTTACCGCTGAGCCAAACCAGCCAGGGCTCACCAGAGAGATTTTTAAGTTCCTTCCCCTTGTGCTGTCCCACTTCCCCTGCCAAATCCATTTCAGGAAGGGACTCTCCTGGTGTTCTGTTTACAAGGTCAAAGAGCCTGACGGTGCCAACCTTCTAGTTCACCTTCTGCTTTAGATGCTGCCTGGGATTCTCATCTTTTTCTGCAGTCCTGGTTGCCTGGATCAGGAGCATGGTGGTGAGAAGTTTGTGGTCAGGCTGAGGGAGAATGAGAACTGGGTCCGATGAGTGATGTCTGCCATGGATTTGGGACTGAGGAGTGGGGTCATCTAACTGCCTCACTTCTCTGAGCTGAGTTGCATTTCCACAAGGGCTGCTTTGCTTAGCTAGGCCCCATATGAAAAGATCTCCTGCCCTGGCCGGTTTGGCTCAGCGGTTAGAGCGTCGGCCTGCGGTCTGGAGAGACCCGGGTTCGGTTCCCGCTAAGGGCACGTACCTCGGCTGCGGTTTGTCCCCGGCCGTGGTTGGTCGTGCGGGTGGCAGCCACTCGATGTGTCCCTTCACATCGATGTTTCTCTCCTCTCTCTCTGTTCCTCTCTCTCCCTCCCACTCTACCTGAACAAAAAATGGAAAAATGTCCTCGGGTGAGGATAAAAAATAATAATAATAAATAAATAAATAAATAAATAAATAAATAAATAAATAAATGAAAAGATCTCCAAAAATCTACTATGGGCTATTTTTGGGGTGAGGGGCAGTAGAATACAAAGATGTATCTATCTACTCCCTGACCCAGATTCTACTCGCAAAATGAGAAACTGCCCTGCCAGTGTGGCTCATTTGTTGAGCATTGACCCATGCACCAAGAGGTCACTGGTTCGATTCCTGGTCAGGGCACATGCCCAGGTTGTGGGCCAAATCCCCAGTGGGGGGCATGCAGGAGGTAGCCAATCGATGTCCTCTCTCATCGATGTTTCTATCTCCCTCTCCCTTCCTTTCTCTCTAAAATCGATAAAGAAAAAAAAATTTTTTTTTTAATGAGAAACTCACAGTCCAGGAAGCAAGATGAGAAATGGACACAAATAATTAAAGATAAACAGTGATCCATGCAATAGGTTTCAGTGAGCTTCATCTACTTGGAGAGGTAGGAAGAAACCAGAGAACGCTTACAGGCTTTTCATATAGCCTATAACAGATAAGATTTGGGCAAAGGAACACAGCCTACAACTCCAAACCCCAGAAAAGTTCCTTGCAACTGCAACCAAGTACTACCAAGCACAGAGGAAGACTAGGAAAAGAAATGTAGAATCAAGTCCCCCTGGCACCCTTGTCACAGCTGGACATAGCACCAAGAGCCCAGCCTGCTAGGAAGTAGGTCAAGAGGGTCACATTGCTCTTTTACTGATGCAGGTCAAACAGGTTTTTAAAAATGTGATGGCTCAGGCTTCATGGTGGTAACGTGTCTGCTGAGGATGACGAGATCTTTCTATCAGCCTGAGCTCTCAGACAAAGGTCGGACAAGACTCAAGCACAGAATCCTACAAACTCACCATGGAGGATTTCCTGCCTTTCGTTAGACATGTACTGTAAGCAAGGCACAACGCCATGCATTTAGCAAACTTCTGTCACTTAATCTGCACAACAATGTGATACTGGTAGCATTTCTCCAAGTTTACAATGAATAAAACAGTTTCAGAGAGGGGAAGTGACTTGCCCCATGTCACACTGCCCATAAGGTTCAGGCCTGATTTGAATTCAGGGAGGTCGGGTTGCAAAGCCTGTGGCCATTGAGATCTAACCTGCTAAAACAAAACCACTCAGTCATCCCATCGGCTTTAAAGATGAGAAAGAAAGACCCAGAAAGGAGACGGGACCTGCCCAAAGCCACTCAGTAGCAGAACAGGGACTAAAACACAGGCGTCCACTTTCCCAGAGAGACAATGATGGGTCTTGAGCTCTCACCTCAGCTTGTTATTGTAGGTGCAGCCATCACAGGGCCACCTGTGAGTGTGGCATTGTTTTACTTCACACTTTCATTTTGGGTCAGAAAAACCCCCCAGCGTACCTTTTCAGAACAGTTTCCACAGCCCTCGAAGTTCCCTTCCCAGACACTCAGCCTGAGGCAGGGCTCTGGGCCAGCCGTGCACACCAAGGGCAGCGTGGACACCTCTGTGGGGAGAGTGGCAGGTGGGGCTTTGGCACTTTCCTTAGGTGGAGAAAGCACTTGGTTAGTTGGTTGGTTCTCTTTGAACCGTACATTTGTGTGGCGTCTGTTTTTGCATGCTTCAGTGCTCTGAATACTTAGACCTGCAGTGACACACTTATAAAGAATATGAGCCCGCCCTGGCCGGTTTTGCTCAGTGGTTAGAGCGTTGGGCCGCAGACCAATGAATTGCGGGTTCAATTCTGGTCAAGGGCACGTACCTCGGTTGCGGTTCTTCCTCGGCCCTGGTCGGGTTGTACAAGAGGCAACCAACTGATGTCTCTCTCTCATCAATGTTTCTCTCTCTCCCTCTTCCTCTCTCTCCCTCCCTCCCACTCCATCTGATGATAAATAAAAATATATCCTTGGGTGAGGATTAAAAAAAAACACAAAAAGAATAGGCACTCTTTCCACCTAACAAATGCATAGAAATAAAGTTTTACATACACTTTGAAAGGACTGCTGTCCCGCTACAGCCAACCCGTGGACCAAGTGACAAAGGCCTGGTGGAGATCAGCAGTCGATTTGGTTTTCCCAAAGGGAACGGGACAGGTATTGTCATTGCCACTTCACAAAGGAGAAAAGGGACTCAGAAAGTTGAAGGGATTGCCAGAAGTCACATGCCAAGCCCTGGCGGGGGGGGGGGGGGGGGGGGGGGTGACCGCAGCGCAGCAAACACCCAGGAGGCTTTGCCCTGAGGAAGGCCGGTCTAGCAGCCAGCTTCCCCGGCTCCAGAAGAATGTGTCTGCCCGAGGGAAGGCAGGCAGAAGCTGGTTTTCCTGGGCTCTGTGCGTTCTGTTGTTGCCTGATGTTGTCTTTTTAGGAACTCCATCCAAATGCCTGGATTTTGTGCCCTGACCTAATCTGGACAACAACCACGAGCTGGTGGCCACACCAGGCTACCCCAGGCATCCCTCTTCTAGGCTGGACTCTGCATGGGGTAAGCCATTTTCTAATGGGACACTGTTTTCTAAGGGAAATAAGAGAAGAGATTTGGGGCAGAAGGGCAGCAGGAATGTAGGGAGGAAGCTTCCAGAAGTGTCAGGGTGAACAGGTGGGAGCTGAGAAAGGCTTTCACTCTGTCATTCATTCGTGACCAGGGCTGAGAACTCAGCTGAGACCATTTCCTGTCTCATCTCAGGTGTGATATTGACAGCATTCAGCAAAGGGCCTCTGTCTCAGGGAAATCCCCCTTCCAGCTCATCAGCTTGTAGGGTCATCTCTGTGCTTAAGCACACAAGTTTTTGTTTTGGTTTTTGGTTTTTTTGGTACGTGCCCCTAGCAGGAACCGAACCCGAGACTCTCTGGTCCGCAGGCCAACGTGCCAACCGCTGAGCCAAACCGGCCAAGGCTAAGCACACAAGTTTTGTCTCATGATTTGGGGGATGTGGACTCTAGTTCCAGCTCTGCTGCTAATTCAGTGGGTGACCTGAGCCAAATTACATGCCCATCCTTGGACTGTTTTCTCAGTGGTAAAATGATGGCGTTGGACTAAATTAGATATTTTCAATCTGTTTCTTGAAGACTGAGCACTCCACAAAAGAACCTGGGTTGCCTTGAAGAGGTGACATGGGCTCAGGGACTCAGCTTTTACCTGGTTTATGCATAGGGTTCCATCAACTGTGAAAAGCATTCTGCTCGCTCTCTCTTTTTTAAACATAACTGTTTAAAATTTTTTTTTATATTGATTGATTTGAGAGAGAGAGAAACATTGATTTGTTATTTATGCATTCATTGGTTGATTTTTGTATGTGCCTGACCAGGGATCATGAACCCACAACTTTGGTGTACTGGGACATCGTGCAAACCAACTGGACTACCTAGCCAGGGTGCATTCTGCTATCTTAAAATAATAAAATAAAGTCCGGCAGGTGTGGCTCAGTAGTTGAGCATCGACCCTGCAGCAAGAGGTCGGCCATTGATTCCCAGTCAGGGTACATGCCCAAGTTGTGGGCCAGATCCCCAGTGGAGGACATGCAGGAGGCAGCCAGTCAATGTTCTCTCTCATCGATGTTTCTATCTCTCTCTCCTTCTTACTTCCTCTTTCTCTCTAAAAATCAATAAAGGGAAAAATAATAATAATAAAATATAAACCTTTATAATAAGGGCTGCCATTTATTGAGCACTTATGATGCACTAAGCATATTATTCTTGACAACCCTGCGAAGTCCATGAGTTACACCCATTTGAAGATGCTCCTAATAATAATAATAATAATAAACACTTCAATGTATTATATTAATTTACTTAAATGCTCACAAAAAAAACATTTACAGGTGAGAAATGAGGCATTAGGTATTTTGAACAAGTTCACGTGGCTGAGATTTGAACCTACATATGAAGTGTGTTCCCCTCCCCTTCCACCCTTACTTGGGTCTACTCCATCTAAGTCAGCCCCTTCCATCTCAATGGCTCTCATTTATCAAACAGTCATTGAGCCCCTACTATGTAGCAGACAGTGTACAAGGCTCTGAAGACCAGAAATAATGAAGGCTCAGTCCCTGACCTTGACAAACCGTATGGCCTCTGCCAAGTGGTTTAACGTTTCTCAGCCTCCATTATGAAGCAACAATGACCATAATTTTTTTCAAACTATAAGAGAATATTTATTTAGAAAGGTCCAGAGGCAAAACAAGGACCCTGGGAGCTTAGGAAAGAAGAAAGGTAAATGTAACACCTGGGGGGAGTGGGGGGAGGGGAAGGGAGTGGGCGCGCTCCCAGGAAACAGGCCAATACCATAATTCTTATATTATAGAGATGTGTGGATTACATTAGACTGTGGCTGTGAAAAATATTAGGTAGGATTTAAATTATAGCCCGGCGGTGTGGTTCAGGGGATTGAACGTCATCCCATGAACCAAAACATCACAGGTTCGATTCCCAGTCACATGCCCGGGTTGTGGGCTCGATCCCCAGTAGGGGGCGTGTAGGAGGCAGTCGATTGATGTTTTCTCTCAGCAATGTTTCTCTCTCCATCTAAAAAAAAAAATCAATAAAAACATATTTTAAAAAATAATAATAATAAAATAAGAGTATGCGTTGGCTATAACTGAAAATTAAAAAATAAATAAATTCCATACAATTGTTGATGAGTGCAGTTATTAATTTGGTTGGAGGAAAGACTAATTAATGCAGAATCGGTGACAGCATATGCAGGATAAGGCTGGGGGCTTGCTGTGTGAGGGATCTGGGAAGGCTTCAGGGGGCCAAGACGAGCCCAGAGGGGAGGCAAAGAAGGAAGGTGACTCAGGGAAAGAAAGCCAGGGGCAAAGGCGCAAGGAAGGGAGCTCTTTGGGAATGGTGAGACATCGGGTGATCCAGACCGGGGCTGCCCACAGTGGCCGCCGAGGAATTCGTTCTGACCTGTCTATCAGCCGGCAGCACAGTGCATCCGGCTGGGCTAGCGCCGTCCCCTAAGCATATGACATGAGACACGGGGCATTTAAGATTTTCTAGTAGCCTCAGTACAAAATAATAAAATGAAACAGGCAAAATAAATATTTAGGCCAATATATCCAAAATATTATCATTTGGCTTATAAAAAATATACAACATTATTAATGAGATATTTTACATTCTTTTTTCCATACTGTCTTTGAAATCTGGTGAGACTTTCACACCTAAGGCACATCTCAATCCACACTAGCCGCTTTGACAGAGCGGGTAGGGACAGAATTGAGGTCAAGCCCCAGTTCCCACGCTTAAATAACTAAGTCATCCTGGGCAAGTTCCAAATTAAGAATAGCTATCCCCAGGGTCAAGCTGTCATCTAAATATATTTTATACATTCATTCACTTAATCCTCGTGAATTATCTGTAAAGGTTTGGATTACCATGATTATCCCCATTTGACAGGGAGCCCATAGCCTTATCATTCCTAAACCTTCTTCCTCCACAAGATGAGCATAAGCACACCCTGAGGGCCCTTGTGAGGGAGCTGTGAAGGTCTCCTGACCAGACTCACCAAGCAGCCACTGCTCAGGAAGCCACAGACCTCTCTCATCCCAACTTCCCGCCCTGAGCACTCAAGCCCGACCAGGACAGGCTGAGGGGAGTGAGGCACTCACTGTGAGCACAACATTTAAATGGCCATAGAAACAATCAAAATAAATTTTGTTTTGAGTGCAAATAAAATATTTAACTTTATAAAATAAGGTTGTGAGCCCTGGCCGGTTTTGCTCAGCGGTTAGAGCGTCGGCCTGTGGTCCAGAGAGTCCCGGGTTCAATTCCTGCTAAGGGCACATACCTCGGTTGCAGTTTGTCCCCAGCCCAGGTTGGGGTTGTGTGAGTGGCAGACACTCGATGTGTCTCTCTCACATTGATGTTTCTCTCTCTCTCTTCCTCCCTCCCGCTCTGTCTGAAGATAAATGCAAAAATGTCCTTGGATGAGGATAAAAATAAATAAATAAAATAAAATAAGGTTGTGAGCCCTGGCCAGTTTGGCTCAGCGGTTAGAGCGTTGGCGCACAGACCAAAGAGTCGCGGGTTCGATTCCAGCCACGGGCACGTACCTCAGTTGTGGTTCGTCCCTGGCCCTGGTCGAGGTCGTGTGGGAGGCAACCAATCAATATGTGTGTGTGTCTCTCTCTCCCTCCCTCCCTTCCACTCTATCTGAAGTTAAATAAAAAAAATATTCTCGGGTGAGGGTTAAAAAAAGAAACGCCACTAAAGATATCGTGGAAATGTCTACAGGGAGGCACACATTTTCCTTTCTCCTCAGGCAAGGCACTGCTTTTTTGGCTGAGTCCAGGGAGAATCCTGCCCTCCTTGCCCCTTCTCCAGATCCTCTTCCCCTGCCTGCAAGTTCTCTTTCTTTACCTACTTTGTAAATCCTCTACATTTTCCTAAGGGATTAGGCTTTGGTTTAACGTTGTGTTTTTTTTGTTTTGTTTTTTTAATCTTTTTTCTTCATTGATTTTTTTTTTTTTTTAGAGAGAGAGGGAGAGAGATAGAAACATCAATGAGAGAGAACATCGATTGGCCGCCTCCTGCATGCCCCCCACTGGGGATTTGGCCCACAGCCTGAGCATGTGCCCTGACTGGGAATTGAACTGGCGACCTCTTGGTGCATGGGTCGATGCTCAACCACTGAGCCACACCAGCCAGGCTCAACGCTGTGTTTTTAAGATTTATCCTTATTGATACACAGAGTTCTAGTTCATCAATACTGCTTCCTGTATTTCTTTGTATGGATTGAGTATAATTTATCCATTTTTCAGTTGATGGACATTTTTTATTCTATTTCAAATATGCTGAAATGAACATCCTTATGTGTGTCTCCTTGGGCCCACATGTGAGAGTTCCTTGGGAAGACATTCCCAGGAGTGGACTTGGTGCCTCCAAAGCCAAGGCACATCTTCAATGTCACTAGATTTTGCCAAACTGCTCTCCAAAGTCGTGTCCTGAAAGTTCTCATTGCTGCACACCTTCTCCAACATGCAAAACTGTCAGATTTAATTTTCTGTCAATCTGATGGGAGAGAAACTGGCATTTCTGCAGATGCTATGGAGCTTAGATAACTTGTCAAAGGATTATTGGCCATTTTTTTTCATGCCTCATATTTTTCTTATTTGTGGATTCTCTCCTTTTTCCTTATGTAGTTTTGCCTGAGGTATGTTTATTTTTATTATCGTTTTTGTTGTTGTTAATCTTCATGTGAGGATATTTTTTGTTTAATTTTTTTAGATAGAATGGAAGGGATGGAGGGAGAGAAAGAGACATCAATATGAGAGAGACACATCGATTGGTTGCCTCCCGCATGACCCCAACTGAGGCTAGGGATCTAACCCGAAACAAAGGTACATGCTCCTGACCAGGACTCCTACGTTCTAACCACTGACCCAAACCGGTTTTATCATCACTCACAATTCAATGCACTTTAATCCAGTTTCACAAGTAGTTATTGAATGGCTATTGCATACCAGATACTATTCTAAGCCCTTACATTAGTGAACAAAATAGCTTGCTGATCTTATGGAACTTAAAGTCTAGTGGAACAAATAGACAATGAACAATAAAACATGAAAAATAGGTAAGCTATGTAGGGTAAATTATATGTTAGAAGGTGGTAAGTGATAAGAAAAAAAAAAATAGAGTTGCCTAGCCAGTGTGGCTCAGTGGTTGAGTGTCGATCCATGCACCAAGAGGTCGCCGGTTTGATTCCCCATCAGAGCACATGCCCAGGTTGTGGGCCAATCGATGTTCTCTCTCATCGATAGTTCAATCTCTCTCTCCCTCTCCCTTTCTCTCTCTCTCAAATCAAGAAAGAAAAAAAATTGTCTTTAAATATATATATAAAACAAGAGTTCGCTGGTTGGATTCATGGTGAGGGAATCCAGGTTATGGGCCCAACCCCCAGTGGGGGGCATGCAGGAGGTGGCCAATCGATGTTCTCTCTCATTGATGTTTCTATCTCTCTCCCCCTCTTTCTTCTTGTCTCTCAAATCAATGAAGAAAAATATTAAAGAAAAAAAAAAATAGAGCAGAGTGAAGGGAACCAGAGCAGGAGTATGGGGTGAGTTTCAGTATTAAATAGTGTGGTAGGGCAGATAGAAAAGGTAAAAATTGAGCCAAAACTTGAAGAAGGTGAGAGACTGAGCCGAGCATGTATCTAGGAAAGAGTGTTCAGGCAGAGAGCACCGGCAGCACAAAGGCCTGCAGCAGGAGGGCGGACCCATCAGGGAGCCAGTGTGCCGGAAGCTGGTTGGCCAAGCGAAGCATGGTAGGAGGGAGGGCAGAGAGGGAATGTGGCCAGAACACATAAAACCTTCCAGGCCATTGGAAGTAGTTTGGATTTACACTGAATGGAATGGGACCTGTGCAGGGTTGGCAGAGTAGTGTGACCTGACATATTTTTAAAGGATCCGTTTGGCTGATGTGTTGAAATTAGACTAAAGAGAGGTCTGATTAAAAGCAGGGAGCCCAGTTAATATTGCAGTAAACCAGGTACGAGATAATGCCTGATTTTGAAAAGCCTAAATTAGACCAATGCCTTTATTCATTTCCTAAATACAATTTCAACTTTATTCATTTCTCTCGGCTTGTGTTACTGTCATTCATAATTTACTTCCACTTTGGTTTTTCTTTTGTTTTTAATGTTTTTTAAATATGTTTTTATTGAGTTTTTTAAAGAGAGAGGAACTGAAAGAGAGATAGAAACATAGATTGGCTGCCTCCCATACCCCTCCCCACTGGGGATTGAACCCACAACCCAGGCATATGCCTCGACCAGGACTTGAACCTGGACCTCTCAGTCCAGGGGAGAACACTCCATCCACTGAGCCACCCCAGCAGGGCTTCCACTCTGTTTTTATACCCTCCAAATCAGTCATAATTATTATTATTCTGGCCTTATATTTACTTTTTTAAATTTTACTTATACATTTTTCAACTTATTTGTTCATAATTTCTTCTTGCCTTCTGTTCTTCCCTCTCTGAAGAATTTCCTTTTCTGATGGTGTATCCTTTTTTTTTATCCTTACCCGAGGACATTTTTGCATTTATCTTCAGATAGAGTGAGAGGGAGAGAGGAAAAGAGAGAAACATCAATGTGAGGGAGAGACACATCGAGTGGTTCCCACCCACACGACCCCAACGGGGGCGGGGACAAACTGCAACTGCAGTACGTGCTCTTAGTGGGAACTGAACCCAGGACTCTTTGGTCCGCAGACCGACGCTCTAACTACTGAGCCAAACCGGCCAGGGCTGATGGTGTATCCTTTAGATGCTCCTTCAGCAAAGGTCTGTTAGTGGACAATTCTATTTGTATTTCTCTACTTCGAGTGATAGTTTAGCTTTTTCCCCTTTACCTTCTGGCTATTGCTGTTGCTATTGGAAAATCTGCCTTTATTTTATTTTATTTTATTTTATTTTTCCTTTATTGATTTTAGAGAGAAAGAAAGGGAGAGGGAGAGGGAGAGGGAGAGAGAGAAACATCGATGAGAGAGAATATCGACTGGCTGCCTCCTACATGCCCCCACCGGGAATCGGGCCCAGAACCTCAGCATGTGTCCTGACCGGGAATCAAACCGGTGATCTCTTGGTGCATGGGTCAACGCTCAACCACTGAGCCACACTGGCCGGATGGGAAATCTGCTTTTAAATTTAATTATGATTCCTTTGCAGGTATTGTATCTTTGTGATTGCTTTTAATATTTGCTCTTTGTCTTTGGTGTTCTGGAGTTTTATTAGAATATATGTGTGAAATTAGTTTGTTTTTAAAATTCTGCTTGGACCCTGGCTGGTGTAGCTCAGTTGCTTGTGCATTGACCTGTGTACTGAAAGGTTACCAGTTTGATTGCTGGTCAGGCACATGCCTGGGTTTCAGGTTTAGTCTTCAGTTGGGGTGCTAAGGGAGGCAACCAATTGATGTTTCTCTCTCTCCCTCTCACTTCATCTCTTTCTAAAATCAATAAAAACATTTTTTAAAATAAATAAATAAATAAATAAATAAATAATAAAATTCTGCTTGGAGTTCCCTGTGATTGCTGGCCAACTCTCCAATTATTTCTTTAAATATTGCCTCCACAATGCCCACCACCAATTCTATTCTTCCATTTTGAAACTCCAGTGAGATATATTTAAAGCTTTTATTCAATCCTTCATGTCTCTTAAGCTCTCTTCCATGTTTCCCATAGCTTTATTTCCTTGTGCTGCATTCTGAGAAATTTCTTCAGATCTGCCTTCCAGATCAATGCTTTTCAACGAGACTTGTGTTCTTTAACCTACCTTTAAGGGTTTGTTCATTTGTTTTTCAAAAAATGTTTTTATTGATTTTAGAGAGAGAGGAAGGGAGAGGTAGAGAGAGAGAGAAACATGGGTGACAGAAACATCAACATCGATCAGCTGCCTCCTGCACGCCCCCTTCTGGGGATGGAGCTCAAAACTGGGTCATGTGCCCTGACTAGGTGTGTGAGTCGATACTCAACCACTGAGCCATATGGGCCGGGCTAAGGGTTTGTTTGTTTGTTTCAGTGACTTTATTTTTCACTTCCAAAATTCTACTTGATTCTTTTTTCAGGTCTTCCCAGTCATTCATTATGTACTCGTGTTTTTGATCATTTAATAATATTAAACATTTTTATATCATATACCCAAGAATTATATGAAGTTCCTGGGACTCTAATTCTACTGTCTGATATTTCTGCTTACTCCTGTTCATGTTCCCTTACACATTTTGTAATTTTGCATTGTAAGCTCAAATTCCATGGGCCTGTATATGTGGGAATCTTGTGTGATCTGGATAGAAAGTATATTCCTCTAGAGAAAATTTGAGTTCGCTTTCTAATAACATCTAATAATGTCTCATATAATATTTGGGTGATTTATTTTTTTTAATCTCTCAATATTTAGGATATACTTATACTAAAAAATGATTTATTGCCTGACATTGAAATTTATCTGGACTCCTATATTTTATCTGGTAACCCTACTAGTATGAAGCCCAAGTCTTACCTCCCATCCCTAAATAGTTGCTTAAACTTCAGCATCTTACTTACCAAAACTGGCAAACAAAAAAACAAAACACCAATGCGGAAAAACCCCTCCACATGATCACTCTAGATTTCATTTTTTCCTTGGTTTTGATTTCCTCTTGATTTTAGACCATTGGAGATTTACTTACTTTTAAAGAGAAGTCTTAGGATTAGTCTTTTTGAAAAAAAAAGGCCAAAAAGTTTGCAGGCCACCCACTTCTGCTTCTTGAATTCCCATACACCTCTCCTAAGGCAACCACAGCAGACCTAGTGCCCCTCTAGAATGGAAAAAAGGCAACGTAGAGAGAACAAAATGTAAATTGCTATTTCAACTTATCCATCTGCACAGATAAAGGGTTTGGCTAGCGTCAGTGATTGTGTGAGGTCATTACTGTGCTGACTGAAAAAGACTCATTTCTTCTCATTGTACTACAGTAAAGACTTCTTGGCAAGCCCAGCAGAATCTGAAGGACTCACTCCATGGAGACATGCTTGGTGATGAAGGCAGCCAATGGCTCCAAGGATGGCTTGGATTTCAACCCCCTGAAGGATTACATGATTCTGAGCAGTCAGCAAAAGATCGCTGTTGCGGTGTTGTGCACCACCCTGGGCCTGCTAAGCGCCCTGGAGAACTTGGCTGTGCTCTGCCTGATCCTGTCCTCCCACCGGCTTCGCAGAAAGCCCTCATACCTGTTCTTTAGCAGCTTGGCTGGGGCTGACTTCCTGGCCAGTGTTGTCTTTGCTTGCAACTTCGTAAATTTCCACGTCTTTCATGGCAAGGATTCCAAGGCTGTCTTTCTGCTGAAGATTGGCAGCGTGACCATGACCTTCACAGCTTCTGTAGGCAGCCTGCTGCTGACCGCCATTGACCGCTACCTCTGTTTGTGCTACCCACCTACATACAAAGCTCTGCTCACCCGGGAGAGGGCACTGGTGAGCCTGGGCATCATGTGGGTCCTCTCAGCATTTGTCTCCTACCTGCCCCTCATGGGATGGACTTGCTGTCCCAGTCCCTGCTCTGAGCTGTTCCCTATGATTCCAAATAACTATCTGCTGGGCTGGCTTCTGTTCATCACCATCCTCTTCTTTGGCATCATCTACACCTATGGGCACGTCCTCTGGAAGGCCTATCAGCACGTAGCCAGCCTGGCTGAGCACCAGGATGGGCAGGTGCCAGGAATGGCTCGGATGAGGCTGGATGTGAGGTTGGCCAAGACCCTAGGGGTGGTGCTGGCTGTTCTTTTCATATGCTGGTTTCCGGTACTAACCCTCATGGTCTACAGCCTCACCACCACTCTAAGTGACCAAATCAAGAAGGTCTTCGCCTTTTTTTCCTTGCTCTGCCTTGTCAACTCCATGGTGAACCCCGTCATCTATGCCCTGAGGAGTGGGGAGATCCGCTCCTCTGCCCACCATCGCCTGGCCTTCTGGAAGAGACACCTGAGAAGCCATGTGCCTGAAGGGCAAGAAGAAATCCCGAGGTCCTCAGTCACCGAGACAGAGGCTGATGTGAAAGTCACGCAGTGGCCAGATTCCCAAGGTCCATACCCCTCTGATTCCTGATATGGCCTCTTTCAGAGTTTTAAGCAAGTCAAGTTAGAAATCATTTCACTCCCTGGAGGAAACAGAGCAGTATTGACCTTCTCACCTTACTTGAACCAACCCCAAAGGCCTCGACACACTCCATTTTGCTGATGAAAGTACCTTGGTCATGCCTATTCGCACAGTCTGTTAGAAAGCTAGGCCTGTGAGGAGTGGCGAGGTGAGCAGGAGGCAAGACACAGGGGACGGGCTTGGTGCACGTCCGGTCAGGAAAACCTCAACAAGATGACTGAGTGCCTGCATTCTCCAGCGACCACAGGAGCCAGAGGGGGTCTTCAGGCTCAACAATGAGGGGCTCAGAGGACATCTGAGAAAAATGGATTATTCTCCAGAGATCTCAGGGTATGGGTGGGTGGCTGGCCAGCCCTTGTTACTGCTTAATTGTTAGGGCCTTCTTGGTTCTAGGTCACCCTATCCCACTGAGGACCAAGAACCATAATGCAATGAGGATAATGGGTGTTGATCCACCTCTGTCCGAGGTAACTGACAACCCTCCAGTTAAGGGCATCTTGTTATTAGGACAGTGGCCCTCCTTGACTCCTGATAATCCCCACTCACAGCCACTGTGACCCCTTAGGTCTCTGGGGAACACAGAGGCTGGGATCACTTGAGACACAAAATCTTCAAAGAATTGTATGGACCCTGTAAAGTCCTTTTAGTGGTACCACTGGAAGCAGGCAGCGTCCCAGTCTAACCCAATTCCATGAAAAAGGAAGATATTCACAAAGATTCTATAAATCCCCAAATTATTCTCATTCACTCTCAGTTCAGGCCATTTGTCTCCTCCACACCCCTATGACAAATAATAAACAGAGCAAACAGTAAGCGGGGGAAATTCCTTTATGATGGGCTGAGCCCAGGGCTGACATCCCACAGTCCATTATCTCCAGCAAGAATAGAGCCGACGCTTTTGAAGATCCCAGGACACTGTATTTTACATATCAGGAGTCTGAGTTCCTACCAGAGGGCCCCAAAACAGTGGGCAAGAGAAATCGTTGGTGGCAGGAGGATTGTAAGAAATTCTAATACAATTATTTGAGACCAAAGACAGAATAAAAGGAAAGACGATGATTAAACGTGTCTTTATTTAATACTTTATAAGACAAGGTGCCCACTATTCATTCGCTCATTTACCCATCTCATAAATACATACCAGGATCTGTGCTAGGTCTTGGATACCCAGCCATAAAGGAGACTCTGCCCTTGTCTAATGAAGCTTGCAGTCTCCATTCTGATGGGGGAGAGAGCCACTAAATAAATAAATATATAAAATAACTATGGGTGGTACAAAGAAAGAAATCATCAAAGTCGTGTGGTAAGGATAAATTGAGGCAAATTTAGGTAGGGCAGACCTACTAGGTACTCTGGTCACAAATGCTGACTGACTTTTATTGAGTCTTTGCTATGTGCCAGGCACTGGACTAAGTATTTTTTATCCACACCCAAGGATATTTTTCCCCATTGGGTTTTTTTGGGGGGGGGGGTTAGATAGAGGGAGGGAGGGAGGGAGAGAGAGAAACATTGATATGAGGGAGCCACATTGATTGGTTGCCTCCCGCATGACCCCCCCAAACCCTGACCGGGCCAGGGATTGAACCCACAACTGAGGTAAGTGCCGTTGACTGGGAATTGAGCCTGAGGTGGGCTGACACTCTAACTGCTGAGCCAAACCGGCCAGGGCTGGGCTAAGTACTTTTAAATGAGGTATTTCGCTTGGTCTTCACAATAACCTGATAAGGATTTGGTATCCTCACTTTACAGATAAGGAAACCTCTAAGAGACAAAATCACTTGCCTGGGTACACTGTTAATATGTACCCAGAGCTGGGGTTCTCAAGCCAGTTCTGTTTGACTCCAAAGCCTACTCTCCTGACCACTAACCTCAAACTAGTTCAGTCAAATTCAGCCTGATTAGAAGTAACGTTAGCCAAGCTGGTGTGGCTCAGTGGTTGAGTGTCGACCCATGCACCAGGAGGTCGCCAGTTCAATTTCCGGTCATGGAACATGCCCAGGATGTGGCCAAATCCCCAGTGGGGGGCATGCAGGAGGCAGCTAGTTGATGCTCTCACTCATTGATGTTTTTATCTCTCTCTCCCTCTCCCTTCCTCTCTCTCTAAAACCAATAAAGAAAAAAAAATCTGCTTAAAAAAAAAAAAAGTAATGTTAGACTTCATTACTTCATTGCTGTAGCCTTAAATCATCATTATTTCTCAATGTACTTCCTTTTATGCCCTATATTAGTTTCCTGTAACAATTTCCCATAAACTAAGTGCCTTAAAACAACAGAGATTGATTCTTTCACAGTTCTGGGACCTAGAAGTCCAAAATCAAGGTGTTGGCAGGGCCGTGCTCCCTCCAGAGGGCCAAGAGGAGGATCCTCTCTTGCCTTCCAACTTCTGGCAGCTCTTGGGGTTCCTTGGTTTGTGGCAACATAACTCCAGTCTCTGCCTTTGTCTGCACACAGAGCCTCCCCACCCGCTTTGTCTCTTGGCATCTTAAGGACACCAACCATTGGATTAAGGCCTAATCCACTATGATCTCATCTTAATTTAACAAATTACATCTACAAAAACATTCACAGGTTTTGGGTAGACATGAAGTTCTGGGGGCCACCACTGAACCCACCTGAAGTGCAATAATTTTAAAGGTCAATTTGTGGTTCCTTAAAGTTGCGATATGCCTTTCTTTATTCAACTGGGGGGATGTCTTTTTTTATTTTAGCAAAGAAAATGTCCAAGTGCCTAACATAAAGTGTCAGTAAATATTTCTTTAATAAATACAGAGTTTAAAAATCATTGGCTTAAATGCACTTTCACACTTTCTACCTCTCTCCTTTCACAATCTCCTATTTCGGCTTTAAGTGAAGAGCTAGAGTTTATGAATGAAGACAGCAAGGGAGCAAGGGACCCTGGATATCACTGAGAACTGCCCTCATTGTTTACATGAGGAAATGGGACCAGACTGTGGACAAGATTTGCCCAAGGAGACCCCACGATGTGGTGTCTAGTGCAAGAGACCTAGTTTCCCAACTTCCAATATTGTCCACTCTGTCACAGTGCCTCTCACCTATTCCTGCAGGTTGCATTTTGGTTATAAGGATGTTGACCTTTAACAAATAGACAGCCAGATATTTCTCCATCAAAATGGGTTTATTCAGGAACAACAAAGAATTGCAATTCAGGTCCTGCGATCTAATGGTAAACCATGCTCAAATCTAGAGAAACAAAGAAGGGGACTGCTCTTTGATGGACTTCAGAGTGGCTGTTGTAAATGAAGAGTCCATCGGAGCCCTGGCCAGCGTGGTTCAGTGGTTAGACCCACACACCAAAGGGTCGTGGGTTCGCTTCCCAGTCATGGGCATGTACCTGGGTTGCAGGTTCTATCCTGGCCCTGGTTGGGGCAAGTGTGAAAGGCAGCCAATCAATTTGTCTCTCTCATATGATGTTTCCCTCTCCCTCTCTCTCAAAGTTTAGTGATTTTTCATTGGCTGAGTTATGGCAGTTTCCCATTGGCTGAGCTATTACAGAGCAAGGAGGAATCTTTTCTTTCCTATGCTCAGGTAGTAATGTAGTATCACCTCCTATTGTAGATGCAAAATATGTCTCTTCCTATTGGAGTTAGTAGTATGCATTGAGTCACATGTGAATGAGAGTTCTCTATTCTGTCCTCCTGACTTCTTTTTTTTTAATCCTCATCCGAGGACATTTTTCCATTTTTTGTACAGAGAGAGTGGGAGGGAGAGAGAGGGAGAGAGAGGGAGAGGGAAACATTGATGTGAAAGGGACACATCGAGTGGCTGCCACCCGCACGACCAACTAGGGCCGGGGACAAACTGCAACCGAGGTACATGCCCTTAGCGGGAACCGAACCCGGGCCTCTCCGGACCGCAGGTGGACGCTCTAACCGCTGAGCCAAACCGGCCAGGGCCTCCTGACTTCTTTTAAAAGAGGTTTCTGTTTATTAATGTTCACAAGGTTAAGGAGAAATGAGGATCACAATGTCCCATTTCATCTTCCCCAAAATGAGTTCTGTAACATCAAAGACCACTACTCTGATCACTAGATAGTATGTGAAGATGGATGTGTGTGCTTTTTTAAGGTGTCTGTGCTTACTGTTTTGGACAATATTTCAGCATAACCTTACAGAGGAAGAAAAAAAAGATTAGAAAAATACAACAGCAGCTGCCATTGTATATCCTTACCACTCCTAGCATGAGGAAGTACTTGATTCTGTCAACGTGGGCTCTGATCCCTCCCAGAGAAGCAGCATGTTGAGAGGCTTAGATTCCACATCTAGAGACCTGGATTCTGGTCCCCCTCTGACTCCAACTAGCTGCATGATCTTGAGCAATTCCATCCCCTCTCTGGATCTCAGAGGATCTCCAAAGTCCCTTACAACTCTGACATGCTGCAGTTCTCTCACTGATATGTGGGGATTGGCTGTGCCTCTTGGGGTCATTATACGTCCCACACCCGATGGCCTCACCTCTGTCTGAGATTGCACAGGATGTATGGATTGAGGGGACTTGGTGACCTCCCACCAGACAAAGATCACACAGGTACTCCTAGGGCCTGGGACTCTTTTAATTTTAAAAAGAATTTTTAAAATTACAGTTGACATTCAATATCATTTTATATTAGTTTATATTACTTATATTAGTTTCAGGAGTACGCATAGTGGTTATATAATTTATGAAGTCCCCTGATAATTCTAGGACAATACATAGTTATTACAATATTAATGACTATGTTCCCTATGCTGTAGAGCCTGGAGCTCTTAATTTTCTTACCCTACTATTCTAAAAATCGTTCCTTTGTGGTGGCTTGTATGTACATGGGTCTTGTTTTTCCAATGAGATGTTAAGTTCTTTGAATGGCTTCAGAATTCCCAAAGCCAGTATTAGACAGGCAAAGTCACACCTGCTCTTCCCCTTTCAGCACCCACTGTTCTCCCTCCTCATAATGATTCTGCCATCATTATTGTGCCTTGTTATTTCTACCAGGACTGTTACAATGTCCTTGCATCTGGTATTCCTGCCTCCAGGCTTGCTCTTCTGTACTACAGCACAAAAAGTCCCCTATGGCTCCCAACAGCAAAATACACTCTTAGTTCTCTGCACACACCGGGCTTTCCAGTCCCCACGAGTGAACCCCGCCATGAAGTCTTTCATCAAGTTTTCAGCTGACCACCAGCAGCGAGCGTTCAACACCTCCTTGTATTATTCTCCCTTTAAGCGCCAGAGGGCGCAAGCGGGACGGGACCCAGAAGGGAAGAGACTCGATAGCCGAGCAGCCAGGGCTGCCCGCCCCTTTTCCCTTCCGAGCCAATCACGAGCTAGGGTGGGCGGGGCCGCGGCCCGCGCCGGCACCTTCGCGTAAAGAGGGGATGGTGGTGGCGGAGAGGCGGAAAGGCGGAGATGTGGTCCCCGGAAATGCAGGCGCGGGGGTCGGTGGGGACTCAGCTGCTGCTGCTGCTGGTTCTCGGAGCCGCGGAGTCGGCGCCCGGGGCTCAGCGCCGCTACACACCGGACTGGCCGAGTCTGGACTCCCGGCCGCTGCCGGACTGGTTCGACAAGGCCAAGTTCGGGGTGTTCGTGCACTGGGGCGTGTTCTCGGTGCCGGCCTGGGGCAGCGAGTGGTTCTGGTGGCACTGGAAGGGTGAGGGGTTGCCGCAGTACCAGCGCTTCATGAGCGACAACTACCCGCCCGGCTTCAGCTACGCTGACTTCGCGCCGCAGTTCACGGCGCGCTTCTTCGACCCGGACACCTGGGCCGACCTCTTCCAGGCCGCCGGGGCCAAGTGAGTGTCGCCGCGGGTGCCGGCCGAGCGCCTGCGCCCCGGACCGGAGCAGGGGGAGCGGGCTCGGGCTGGTGGGGACCGAGCTGCGGGAGGCGAGGCGACTTGCCCAGGGTCGCACAGCCATCCGTCTGACTTAAAATACCCCCAGGTCATGTGTTTTGTCCTCTGAATGATGCAGAATTGAATGTGGCTTGCCTGATCATAAGGAGAAGGTGCGTCTGTTTGGGAATTAGAAGGAAATCGAAGTTTCAGGGAGGTGGTG